TTGGTGGTAAGGCCCATGGCGTTGACTTTCTCTCTTGAGATCAAGTCGTGCCCACATCCCGTGTCCATGATGAAGCGTATCGGTGGTCCATCATACCTCTCCACGGCCATGAACATCGTGTCTCCCGGTATCGTGTAGTTGACAGAATCTTTCCTTACTGCCTCGCTGGTGTTGAAGTCAGACAGGTCGACGTTCACCTCGATTCCTTCATCTTGAGTGATTTGTATCCATGCCTTGGCAATGTGTTCGGCAGAGTATAGCTCCATCATCTTACCTTTGGCATGCGCTACTCGTGCAGCTATGCTGTTCACTCTGAGGGTTCTCAACGACGAAATGATCTCGGTATCCACCTTCTGCACCTCGTCCTTCTTCTTCCTGAGGGGACGGGTATTTAGCTCGTTACCAGGATCGCAGGTAAACGTGGTCACATCCGCCCGGTCATCGAATCTGACTCTAAAGCGAAGCGCCAGCTTACCTTGTTGTACATTGGGAAGTGCGGGTTGCGCGTCCTCGCCATCACTCTCGATGTCTCCGCAAAGCATGAATGCTGGCGCAGCCGGTTTGGGTTTGGCTTTGCCTTTAGCCTCTTGTTTTGTAGCAGGGGCAGCGTGATGCTGGCGACGACATTTGTCCCCGAACTTGCACGAACCTTTCTGCCAATTCCAACAGACCTGGTCCTTCATTGGCTTAGGGCTAGTGCTTCTGCCACCAGGACTTTTTGATCTGTCACCCTTGAGATTTTCTGGTTTCTTAGCAGAACTCTTGCGCTTCTCTTGATGACTAAACTTGCATTTGTCTCCTCTAGAACATCCATTTTTCCCATGGAAGTGGAAGGCGCATCCTATCTTGGACGTGTCTGCCGGAGTCGCTGACCTGCCACGGTCCCCTTTTGGGCTCTTCGTGGTTGACCTTCCACGATCCTGCTTCTTGTCCTTCTTTTGGTGATCCTTCGGATTATTCTGAGGAAGTACTGGAGCAGCGTCCTTCGGTTGATCGGCCTTGGTATTCTTGGGCTTCGCTTTAGGGTCCTTCTTCTCCGCTGGTGTAGCCTTCATGAGGTTCCCAAAAGCTTTCTCCCTTTCTTTCTTGTTTGTGGTCTCGATCGATTTCCGTATCCACTTCGCCATAATCTCCCGTAACTTCTGATAGGTCTTATCCGGATCCTTGTCCAACATGTTATCGTATACGGACAAGTCTAACGCCATAACTTTGGAGTCCTTAATCTTATCCCACAGCAGGTTGCGGAGTGCTTTGTCAGGAAGCATGTCTTCCGCATCCATACCTGATATGATTTCATCCCACTGTCCAAGGAACCTGGATAGTTGATTATCTCCAGGGAACTTTAGGTCGAATAAGTGTTTGGATGCATACATCACATCAACGTTGTCGGCACTCCGGAAGCTATCGACGATCAATGCTAGCATTTCTCGTCCCTTTACCATTCCAGGAGTTGTGCCTCTCGCACGTCTCTGCATCATCTGCCTCACCTTCAATTGTACGTCATGAGATCTCTCACCTGCTGCGTGGATGATCGTATGTAGGGTGATGCCTAGCTTAGCATCTATGCTAGCGAATCTTGCTTCGCCTGATGTCTCGAGCAGAAATGGGTCATATGGTGATCTGAAGGCATCCGAGAGCCATTGGATCCAGTCTTCCTGTCTCTCGTCGCCCGATGCCGTCACGACTGCCGCTACGACTTGAGATTTCCAAACCTCCAAGTCGTGTATCTTGGGCCATGCAGGGATGTTGATCTTCTCATGCTCCTTCCGAGATATCTTGGAGCCGCCCGAGCTAGAGGATGAAGCGGCGCCATACTCGGTTGCGGCTGCATTCCCAGCGTTCGAGCGCTCCTCTTCGTATCTCCTCCGGTACTTATTCCTCTCATCTCTGAGCCGTGCTGCATGTGCTTCGAATTCCATCATGTCCTGCTGGTTCTGCATCATACCTTCGTAATATTCCATCGCCTCTTTCTCCTCGGACCTTAATGACTTTTCGGTACGTCCAAGTTCCGCTCTAAGCTTGGTCATCATCTCGTTCTCCACATTGCATTCTGATCCCATGTCCTGTGGTTTCAACTCCAGTGCGACCTTCAGTTGTGCTTCACTTGCGCTTGATTCGATCAATTCTTCCTGGAGACGTTTCAACATCCTCTCTTTACGTAGAATGTCCTCCTCCAACATGTTCATCTTGACCTCGGCTTTCTTGAGTTCGGCGTTGGACGTTTGAGACGGCCGACCGGATCCTTGAATCCTCGCCTGTGCCACCTCTTCATTCGCCCTCTTCAATTGTTCTCTGATGGCCATGATGAAATTGTCCTGGTTATAAGATCGGTTGTTGAGCTCCTCATTCTCTTCTGATAACCATTTGATCTTGCTTGTATACATTGCTTCCTTCATCTTCATTTCCTCGGTATATTCGTGTTTGTTCCTGACACTCTGTCTTTGTAGTCCAACTATCTCCTGCCTATACAGATCCCTAATGTTCTCAGCATCTGCGACTGCAGTCATGAGTTCGGTTACGGCTCGATCTCTTTCCGTCGATATAGCCTGGATCTCTTCCGCGCCGATGTTCACAACTTGACTAACCATCTCTGCGCTGTTGCGATCAGCGTACTCCCCTAACTGGGTGAGACGATCCCGCATTGCCACACGATCAGTGTCAATCTGGTATTGCAAATCGTGTGCTGCTGAGAGCAAACAGTCTCTAGATTCTGTAAGTTGGGAGATTCTTCGTTGATTCCCATATCCTTCGACATAACATTCTTCGAGGTGTGTCATCACTACTTCGTGGACTTCGGTCTCGTGTTGTATAATCTGGTTCTGTCTCTGCTCACATTCGACCATCCATGCATTTTGGTGGTTCAACATATGCACTTCGGCAAGTAGTTGTGCACACTTCGCATTGAGATCTCCATCGGCCCGTGCTAGTTGTAGGTTGTCAGTGCTTGCCCTTGCTCCATCTCCAGCTTCGCTGTCCGACGGCACTGGTACAGTTGACCCATCCTCCAATGCTAGCACTCTCACAGCTCCGGTGTCAGTTCTCCTCCTTGTCTCCCTAGGGCTACGGCCCGATCTCGGAGTCCCCCCCGGTGGTGTCGAGTGCGCTGACGGGGAACGACTTCGTGCTCTACCTGTCGCAACTTCTCTCACCACTGTCAGAGTCTCCGCTTCGATCGTACCTGGGCTAGAGTTGTGGGATGCACTCACCCGATCTGCGGCCGCAGCAGCTGCTCCAAAGGATGCAGTGCTGGCGTCGGATTGGTCCATCTTCAGTGACTGAGGGTAACTGATCTATCCGATGCGTGTGCGTTTAGATGGTGTTGTGTAAGGCCGTAGCTCGTACCCAGCTCGAAGGAGTCTGGATACGGCTGATAACCTGCGAACGGATGGAAAGCGTGCCCTGGCCCCGTTCAAGCCCTTAGTTCACCATGAAGCTTGCGCGCTAAAGCTCCCTTTTGCCTGATTGGGCACTTGAGCCAAATGTTTATGGCAAGTGTCAACGTAGCAATTATACTGGGACCTCATCTCTATTCACAATATATATAGGCATAAGTGGCAACTTCAACTTATGGCAAAACTCTTCCAATGTCCAGTCAGGCCTTCTAATGCCAAACACACAGACACAGTTCATATATATATATATGTACTCTGTATGTATTGATTCAAATCTGCATGTATGTAATTGTATGTGTTGTTTGTCATTATACTACATTATACTATTTTGGTTATGCAGGTGTTTTGCCCTACCACGGTTTGGGACTTGTTGCATAAACACTGCGTTCACGCATGAGACAGGCAAAGAATTACAATACTCTAGGAGTAGAAGATGAAAAGGAAACAATGAATAAAGGATGAATAAAGGTATTGATCAGCTTTAAAAGGAAGTAAAAGGCGACGATTGTCATGAGGATCTACTTATACGGCAAAAACTGCGACTACTGTGCCATGCGAGGTCAACACGCACACATCATGTCGTCAAAAGCACGTTAACTTGTTGAGAACAGCAGACGTCACATAGAACGGAACAGTCCAAGCCACCCCCCCCGCGCCCACCACCCCCACCACCACAGAGTTCTGAGCACCCCCCCTCCCCTCCTCACCTTGTTTCGTGCTTGCTTATGCTCCGCTTCCATAAAGGAATGGCTCACTGTTTAAAGGGGAACATGAAAGGGAATCATCACTATTAAAAAGAAAACTGAAATGAAATAAGTATGTTCAAGTGACGAAAGGAATTGAGCATGTCTTGTAAACAATGCTTGTCAGATATGAAACTTGCAACCTGTGTGTCATGCTGAAATAACATAACACACATGAAACGTGCAAACCGTGGTAGGGCAAAACGCCCGAGGAACCACTATTTTGTACTATCTTACTGTGTTGTATTGTATATATGCGTTGTTTAGTATGTGCTTCGGGCGTATGTATTCTGAGTTGGGACATCCAATATTGTCTTACAGCTTTGGACAAATGAAACGCCCTTGTGCCACGTGCTGTATCAAGTAAATGACAATGGCTTTGAAAACAACTCGTCATACGCCCATTTAAAACGATTATATAGAGACAAATTACAACCTTAAGATATTGTGAGAATTTGCACAGGACGAAGTTAAGGCGGCGCAGGTGCTTTCCTTCGGGAAGACAAGAAATCGCGGGCCTGCAAATCCGCATCTTCCACATTCTCTTTGATCTTAGAGTCAGAGTAGAGCGCCTCACTAACCCATCTGAAGAGTTCAGTGTCAAAGCAACATGCGGTTTTCACGTGTGTTTTTTCAGCTTCTGTAGAGCCCTCTTTTCCGTTGTCGCACTGGGCGCCATCGATCTCTCACCTTGATCGTGCAAATCCCGAACTCAGTTGCTGTTGTCATCAAGTCACGTTCGCTCAGGAGAGAAACTTCCGGAGAGGCATCTGGCTTGCTGCTCCGTCTAAGAAGCATCTGGCTTGCGCATCTTGCAAAGCTCCATCGCGCTTGGGGCAGTTTCATCAGCATTCTGCTAGACACATCATCGCCCCTTCTCGTTTCTCCTCCTTGCCATATTTGCATCCTTAACTAGGGTGACGATTTCATCGACGTCAGCTTCGAACGACCAAACCTCAAAGGCTTCCACTCGAAGTGACCGGAGGCAGCGCCTGCGGCAGCTGTGCAAAAAACTGTCCAGGGCGCACAGTGTCCAGACACCTTAAACCTCGCAATAAACTCCAATAGGAACGTCTAAAATTGCCTCCAAATATCTCAAATACTCTCAAATTGTTTCTCTTCCCGGACTGTCCCGGACCTGTTTGTTGATGCAGGTCTTGCCACACAAGCGTGGTTCACATGTGCGGTTCTGGCCCAGCCGCCAAACTCACTTCCTCAGATAACATTGATCCAAGCCCATATCTGCCAGCAAGAAGGTGAGCCAAACCTGGGTGTGGAACTTAAGCGCCTGGACCAAACAAGGGTTTCAGTGCCCAGACCGTGATCGGCTGGGTGTTGGGGTGTGGGCCATGTAGCATCGAGCTTCAGGTCGAAGGGAATGCAAACGATCCGGGCAGGTTGGCGATCTTGCGCCTTTTGGTTGGCTGGCGCCGGTAAAACCAGGAATCTGTGATGTCCAGGCGATGGTTGGTGATGCCAGAATGTGAAAAGCATCATTTCCATCAGCGGGGGATAAATGAATAGATAGAGCAAGAGTTAGAGTGTCATAAATCCTTTCTCGACTGTTCCTTTGCTGTGATTTCAGCTTTGCGCAACGCCAACATCCGTTCCATTCCATTGTCTTCATTACTTGTTGGTCTAATTCTAATGTTGACGGTTGGTTCATGAAAGCCCCCCGACGCCGGATGGCCGTTTCAAAACAAAATGCGAAGATAGATTGATAGATTGATAGACTGATAGATAGATAGATAGATAGATTGATAGATTTATAGATAGATAGAAAGATAGATAGATAGATAGATAGATAAGTAGATAGATAAAAAGATAGATATATAGAAAGATAGATGGATAGATGGATAGATTGATAGATTGATAGACTGATAGACTGATAGAAAGATAGATAGATAGAAAGATAGAAAGATAGAAAGATAGATAGATTGATTGATAGATTGATAGATTGATAGCTTGATAGATAGATAGATAGACAGATAGATAGATAGATAGATGGATAGTATGATAGATTGATAGATTGATAGATTGATAGATGGATAGATTGATAGATAGATAGATTGATAGATAGATAGTTTTTTTGCAGTTTGCAGTTTGGCTCACTTTCCGGTATGCGGAAACTGTGACGCGCGTCAACACATCTGTGTCGGTGAATGAGCATTCACTTACGCCGTGGCGTACAAGTCTATAGAGCAAGGAGCTTCAAAGAGTTCCAAGAAGTACAGGCTCAAAGAGGAAAAAGCTACTTTAGCGTCCTCGCGCCTGTCCACCAACAACAATCTACGAAGTTATCCACCAGACCTCTCATCGAAGGCGGTCCAGGGAGTTGCAACATATCACATCATGATATTCATCGGTATCAACATGCAGTAGAGGGAGCCATGCTACATCTCAACCTCTATGGAAAACAAAAGAGAAGGCCCTCAGCCAATCATTGCCAGCCCGCAGAACAGCAAGCACGCAGCTAATTAAGTTCATAGTCAGCGCCTTCCACAGCTAGCCACCGGCAGAGGGGATGTAGTCGCTTCCGCAGGGACAACAAACATGGAACTCGTTTCAGACAAAACATGTTTGCGGTATTCAACGCCAAGGTTCAAATTGAGAGCAACCATGCATCGACGCACGAACACCCACGGCTTGAAGCCTTGCGCTCCACATCCTGCGCAGGGAAGGGACATCAGCTCGTGAAATTCCTGCTCGTGAAGGGACCTGCGAAGCACATAGAGAATTCAGTGTGTTCAGGCGAATATGCATCTGTAGGCTCTGTTGACACAGGACCATGCCTCCGCACATCAAGCAATGGGATCGCACGCGCTCCAGGAGGTCCTGAGGATAGTGCTCCAAGCGCCAATCATGCTCGCCGTACTCCACTGCTGTCCTGACCACGACCCAACCCGCCCCTTCCAGACAGTGGGTTGGGGATTGAAGGAGCTCCCAACTGAATTGCAAGACCCAAATACAGACCCACTCATCAGCAAATGGTGGATTGGAGGCATCTGTACAGGCCTCTCGTGTCATCGAATACCAGCCACCCTTTGGAGTTCCGACAGACTGCCTGAATGTGACCCTCATTGTCAAGCCCTCTGTGGATTATGCCTCGACTCCAACGATTCTATATTCCATGTAGATTTGACCGCTCTCCTGCGGGGCCTTGATGGGCAACAAGACCGAATCCGGGATGCGCAACTTCCATTCCAGTTGAATGAGAAGCGCCTGAGTCAGTCGTGTATCTGTCAAGATGCGGACACTGAATTTTTGAGCATCTGGTAAAGGCTGTGTTCATTCCCAGATATCCATTCCAGCTAGAAATGAGATCCTGCAATTCAGTCTGCTCTTTTCCCGCGATGGCTGAGAGGGTTGGCGGTGCGCAGATAGCACCGGTGTCAGCAACCTTCTCTTGGGTGCCTTCGGTGCTGCAAGTCGAAGGTTCAATCCTGGCGGACGAAGACGAAGTAAAAACACCTGCAGGAATTCACGCGCATCTTGCTGATTGATCACCCGTGCTTCCATGAAGCTGCTAAGCTTTGGAAGTGCCCCAAGATCAAGATCGAAGTTGACAAATGCACCAGAGAAACGATGCGACCACCACGTTCAAGTAGCACTTTTTCCCCATGTCGGATAGCCGCAGGGAGCTAAGCCATCCCATTACTGTCAAGGCTTGGAAAGGGTAGCTGATGCCTTGCTCAGCGCCGCAGCGAGCTAGTCCTTGGCCTGGCGCTGTTTGATCCTCCCCTGAATCAGTAGCCAGACCAAGCTCCCTGCTAAGTGTAGCAAAAGCTCGTGGAGGCGATTCTGCACAAAGACTCAATTGTATCAACCATGGGCTCACTCTCGAAGTGGTGGGCTCCATATCCTGAGGTTGCAGGCACTTGAAACGAACCAGCTCCGTCTCGCGCGATGCCAGTTCAACAAGTTCCTCCATGATCTTACGCGTCTGCAGTCCCAACGTTTTCTTCGCCGCCGCTTTCATCTTCTTGGCGGTCAAGTCCCATTGAAGGAATGGCCAATTGCGATTCTCGTCCAAGACTTGATGTTGGATGGCTTCCTGCAGCACTTCGCGGCCCGGTGTAGCCTGAGCCAGGAGAAGAACTCGGTCAAGCAGTGTGAGCAATCTGCAGAAAGAGGACGAAGGAGTCTGTCGTGTCAGCATTGACACAACTTTTCGAAGGTCGGAAATACTCCCAGAGGCTTCCTCTTGGTCTGTGCGACTTCTCTTGGTTGCGTCGAGGCCATGCCAGTGAGCAGATTGCCGAAGGCTTCTCCCATCTGCATGTTCAACTCGGCTTCGTCGACTTCCATCTTCGGCATTGGCTGAGCTATGTTGACAGCTAGCGGACACACCTCTACAACTCCTTCTGATCCCAGACAATGATCACAGCAGTCAGGCCGCGGGTAAGTGCAAGAAGGGATCAAGCTTTCTGCAGTGGTCAAGGTCCGAAAGTGCTGTACTTGGAGATGATTGCGCAAGGACGCTAATGGAACTTCGTCTTCACAGATGCTACAGTGACAGCTGAGCCAAATCCTCAGAGTTCCAGTACACGTCGGGATCAGCACGAGCTGCTGCAAAGTTCTGTGGCTTGGTCGACGATTTCACCAACTGAGGAGTAGATTCAGCTTGAAGGCAGCGCGCATGGTGTAGAATGGCCAATTGGGAGTATACAACACATCGGTGTCCACGCTTACTGGACATGTTTCCACACAATATATCGTGAGAGAACTGGTTGCGGACAGTCGTCATCAGTAGAGTAGCCATTAGCATGACAGCTGTGCTCAGCCCTGGATGTGTAGAACTTGGATTCATTCCAGATTTCATGATGCATCCTTTGAGCAAGGAAGTCCCTCCCTGATTGGTATGCCTTGTTCTCTCGGATCTTCTCCATCGTGTTCGAGTTCCCGGTGAGCGCCTGCCAAGCTTCAGTGGCAGCAAAAGTTCTCAGTGCAGGAAGATCCACATGGGCCACCTGACAGGGTAAATTGCGCGTGAAATGCAGACAATTGGCATGTTCGATGTGGCGCTGAAGGCCTTGCCAGGTAGCCAGTTTGCACTGGCAGTGTCTACATTGCGGTCGTCCACCTGCGACATCTCTGAGAAGAACGAATCTTTCCAGCATGGGTTTCGCCGATTGAGATGCTTCCTGGTGGCGCTGGTGCGATCACAATATGGACACCCACTCACATCAACCAGGACGGTTGGTTGCACCATTGAATCCGGAGTATTGGCAAAAACCTGCGCGATCCTCTGTTTGTTGTTTCCAAAGACACGAAATGAAGAAAGTCGTTGGAGTCCAGGCCCGCGAGAGCATGTTCGAACTGGTCATAGTAGGCAGTCCACTGCTCCTTGAGAAAGACATCAGGTGTAGTGAGCCTTACCCTCTGAAACACATGCGCAGTAGCTTCGTGTGTTAGATGCTCTGGTGAGCGTGCTAAGGAACGAACATCCGCGCTCATGCGATTACACTATGTGAGGAAGCCCTCCTGGGTCAGCCCAGCAAAGGCCACCCCATGGGTGTAGCTGGTCCTGACGCACGTGGCCCAGACGCACGCTCTATCTTGACTATATAGAGAGTTTGTGCTTCCCCACAGACCATTTGCGCAGCCTCTTAAAAGCTGCATGGCCAATGGTCAGTCTGTGCTTCAAGGTCCGTTTCTCAAAGGCTCCAAAGGAAATACAAACGCCAAGATAGACATGTGTGTTCACCACTTTGATCCATGAAACCACGGAGCTCCGTTGTATTGCCATCCACCTGGAGCCTTGCTGGCAAACCAGAAGGCGCTTGAGTTGTGACCGAGCATCTTCGCCAACTAACCGGAGTAGGATGACGGTTTTGTCCATACTGATTGATAGACCAAAACTCTCAAGTGTGTCAATGATGCGTGCAACTTGGGCTAAAAAGCGTTGTTGTAGACCAAGACAGCTCTTTATTTCCCATCGAAATAGCAAATAATCAACGTAGGCAAGCAAGTGTTGCCGCAGCCACTCATCAAAGGTGAGGCCAGCGCCTGTCGTGAGTTGTTGTCCAATGTGGGCGATAACTCTGAGAAGAAACGCTGTCCACTCGAGCGGGGAAGCTTTGCACCCTTGCCTCACGCCTCGAGATGCGTGGATCCAGGTCTGAACTCCTCGGTGCTGAATTTGATACCTGGCGTCAATGAGCCAATGGACCAGAATGGTTGCAATGTTGTAGATCAAGCGAGAGGATGGCACCGCCTTGTAATGTAAACCTGGCGCATTGACGCCGGATGCGCGCACAGAAGTGGAAAACCATGACCAGGGCCTCCGCTGCACTTCGGCAATGTCACCAGCACGGGCATCATAGCCTCCTTGGCCTTGCCCCCCAAGAGAGCTTTCCCAATTGGGCCAGTGAGTGCAATGGGTCGAAGGAATCTGAGGCCTCGTAGTTCAGGTGACAGGAAGGTGTGAAGCCACCGAGCCAGACTGCCTGCCGTCTTCTTCACCAGGAGGGCTGGCATGGAGTTGGGCGCAACTGCTTTCTCTTTAATCTCATTCAGCTGCCTTTCCAATTCATCAATTGCGAGGATCAATGGTGAAGTGGCATATTGTGGCGTTCCTTTCTGCTCCGTCTGAAAGATGGCCTTGAAGTGCTCATCCAGGAGTTGAAGTTCTTCAGAAGGGCTGAGAAGGTTTCCCATCCCGAAACCGAACAACTTTCTTGGTCTGTTTGGGCGCCAACATACGTATTGCCTCATAGAGCCCTCTGGAATCATGGCAAAATGCAGCACGACAGGCTTTCTCCGTTACCTCTGCCACTCTGTCTTTCCTTCTTTGTTTGTTGAATTGTTTCAACTGTTTGTGGATCTTATGAAATCGACAAATATGAACTCGCGAGTGAAAAATACCTCTCAACAAGTGATGACCAAGCGAAGGGCGTCTTGCCTGTTCAAGATGCTTCCATTTGGTGGCAACCAACGACTTGACGTTGTCTTCGATTCACAGTGGAACCTTGGAGACTGAGTGGGGTTTGATCCAGCGGTGGGTTTCATCATCAATCTGCTGGATCAGCGCCGTGTAGTCCGAGGCGCCCGCCTGCGCTAGAACTCTCGATCTGCTGGATAAGATTGGTCCAGGTCTCACAGTTACCACGTCGTTCCTGCGCCAATTGAGTGGTATTGCAGTGAGCAAACCATTTGGACCTGTAGACAGGGGATTGCGAATCACCAGAGGTTGATGATCAGGATGATCCCTGTGGGAAGTGGACCAAACATCTAGCGTCACAGGAAAGCTTGTCAGTCTGAAGGTTTCCGCATCAACAAAAAGTCAATGTTGCCTTGCCCATGAGGTCCATCATCGCTGGGAACTCTATCATGGACTCGGAGTGAACTCAGTCCATGAGCCTGCATCAAGTCCCAGAAATGATCGCCTGTCTGTGAGCCAGTGTGAGGTAGTGGTGTATTTTGATGTCTCCCCTATCAAGCAGACATTCCTGAAAGGCAAGGATCGAACCAGGCCATCCACCGATGCCCACAAACGTTTCCTGGCCATCAAAGGATGTGGCCTGGTCTTTGTGACTCCTTGTCGGTATTGGTAAGCATTGGTGACATCAATAGTGCCTTTATTTGTATAGCAACGAACGTGCTGAAGCCTACAGGCAGAACATCACATCAGCTGAAGGTACGACTGCATATCCGTGCGTCACCCATGCATCATTGGCACTCCAGTGTGTGCTCTGGAGCATCACTATACCGAAGCCATGCGTCACCCACCACATGAGCTCAGCATAGCCCCCGGCAGAGAGCGACCCACAATTCCATGAGAAGACCGAGGCACGTGGTCTCCGTTTCCCCGGTGAAGGGGCCCAAGGTGCTTTGCATATGTCAGCAGGAGGTCTGGCGGCAGGCGCACTGAGATGAACATGTCCGCGATAGACCGCAATACCATGTGTGCGCAGCTTGCGAACGAAACGCTTGTAGCTTCTCTTAACAATTGGGTGGGTGGAAAATGAATTCAAAGTCCCATGGGACACGGTTGGCCCTTTGCCACAAGCTTTGGGAGGGATATCAATGAAATCATCAAAAAGAGAACTCCCTTCAGGGCTGAGTGTGGCCTTAGCCTAACCCTCACCTCTCATCTCGAAAAAGCCAAAGGACCAGGGGCTGCCACCACGATCGCAGCGCTGGCGCAGCAGAGATGCCCAATCCCAACAAGCAAGGCCAGTGACCAGTACCACCAAAGGTCAATAGGTAGATAGATAGATAGATAGAAAGGAAAAAATAAGATAAGATAAGATAAGATTAGATTAGTTAAGATTAGATTAGATTAGATTAGATTACATTGGTTTCCATTAGGTTAGATGAGATGAGATGAGATAGAGAGAGAGATAGACAGATAGACAGATAGACAGATAGACAGATAGACAGATAGACAGA